TATGACCACAAAAGCACAGGAAACAAAATTAAAAATAGACAAATGGTATCGTGTCAAACTACACGCTTCTGCACAGCAAAGGAAACAATTAAAAAATTAACAGAGTGAAGAGACAGCCCAGAGACTGGAAGAAAATACTTGCAAACCATACATCTGATAAGGGGCTAATATCAAAAATATATAAAGAACTCCAGCAACTAAACAGCAAGAAAACAAATAACCCAATTAAAAAATGGGCAAAGAATGCAAATAGACATTTCTCAAAAGAAGACATACAAATGTCCAACAAATATATGAAAAAATGCTCAACATCTCTAATCAGGGAAAGGCAAATTAAAACCACCATTAGATATAACCTCACACCTGTTAGAATGGCTATCAACAAAACAATGAAAGATAACAAGTGTTGGCTGAAAAATAACAAGTGTTGGCAAGGATGTGGAGGAAAGGGAACCCTGGTTGGTGAGTATGTAAATTAATACAGTCATTTTAGAAAACAGTAGGGAGGTTTCTCAAAAAACTAAAAAACAATTACCATATGGTCCAGCAATCCCACTCCTGGGTATATATCCAAAGGAACTGAAATCAGTATGTTGAAGAGTTATCTGCACTACCATGTTCACTGCAGCATTATTCACAAGAGCCAAGATATGAAAGCAACCTAAGTGTCCATCGCAGAAACAGAGAGTAGAATGGTGGTTATCAGAGGTAGGGGTGGAGGGCGGACAGGGAGGAATGAGGAAAAGGGAGAGACTGGTCAAAGAGTACAAATTTTAGTTAGACAAGAGGAGTAAGTTTTACTGATCTATTTATTGCACAGCATAGCGACCACAGTTTGTAATAATGCATCGTGTATTTCAAAATTGCTAAAAGAGTAGATTGTAAATGTTATCATCACAAGAAAAATGACAAGTACGTGAGGTGACGGGTACATTAATTAACTTGACCTAATCATTCCACAATGTATGTGTGTATATATATGTATCAAAATATCACATTGTACCCTATAAATACATATAATTATTATTTGTCAATTAAAAAAAAAGAAAAGAACCACTGAACATCAGAGCTGTTAAAGGACTAACCAGTGAGCTTTTTAAATTCACCCACCATCAGGTTGGCAGTAAGTTTCAAAGAGTGAGAACTTACAGTACAAGAATGATTAGGAATTTGTACTCTCATAAATTGCTGATGCAATAAACAATCTGGAGAAATCAATTAAAATTTAAAATCCACATATCCATTGGGAAAAAAAGAAGAAAGAAAAAACAATGAATGATTGTCCTTCACTCTCAATCCAGAAGGATATCATAGTGGTCTAGAAGGACAGCTGTGGGCTAGCCATACACTAACCTGTCTGAAGTCCCAAGAAATCTAGTTTTTATTTTATGAAAAAAAATCCACCTTTTATTAAAACTCACAACTAAAACTTTCCTTTACAGTTAAATATGCCCTTAATTAACTTCTGCCAGTTAGGGACAGGACAGTAGGTATCTCATTTTACTCTACTAACAAGAAGTATTAGACAATAGGGAAGCTGGTGAGCCTCTTAATGGTCCAAATGTCTAAAGTGAGAGTCAAACGGTATGGGTCGGGGTAAGTCGAGGGTAGGGTAAAGGTTATCTGTTCATTTATTTCTTTATTCTACAAATATATATTGAGTTCCTACCTTACGCTATGCAGTAAGTTCTATATTGTATATTCTTGTATCGAAGCAGCTGCTCATAATAAACACCATAATCAAATAAACAAACTAATTTTTTACAAGAAATTTTCCAGTAAATCAGACATTGTTCTAGTCTAGATCATCTTTGGATTAATAACATGCTCTCCAAGTGTAAGTATTATGTTCCCTATAGAGGAAAAGAAGATCTGAGCTGCCCTCTTTGCTTCCTTAAAAAAGACATTTTTAAAACCCTGTATCTCACCTCTTTTATTTCAAACATCCAACCATTATAGAGAAAAGGTACCTAACAATCCTCCAAAATAAAACAATAGGTTAATAGACGTGGAAACAAGAAAGAAATAAAATGGAAACAAAGGCATCTTCTAAACATGTCTTTTTATGTTGTTTTATCTACCACGTTAAATCACTCCCTGGTCTGGGCTATCTCTGCACCTGGCAAGTCTTCCACCGCTGTGACTAGCACAGCAAATGTATAAACTTTCTACTTACATAGCTGCTTCTCCCACTAGATCACAGGCTGGTACCAGGTCTTGCTCCCAGGGCAAGAACCAGGCCTTAATCATTGCCATATCCCATACTGCAGCATAAAGGGGGGCCCATAGGAGGTATGCAATGATTATCTAGGTCTGTAAGATGGAGAATGCATCCAAAGGGTTATCAAGAAAAGGAGAGCATGAAGTAGATACTAGGAGTTAGAATCTGAAGCTAGAAAACTCAAGAGGCAGGAAGGGAAGAACTGTCAGCAAGGGAAGGCAAGCAAGAAGGTAGGCAGGTTTGAGTAAATCCCTGAAACAAGGACTATGCTCTGAACCGACTGTGTGAAGGAAAAAGCTAAGAAACATTGGATGCTAGCAGAAAACTTAAGAAAACGGGATATTTAGATTTGCAGTTTGTTGTAAGTTATCTTTACAAAGTTATCTTTATTTATAATTATCTATTTAAATGACATGTCCGATATCTGAAACTGAGACTTCAGAATGACCATCACCAATCCCTCTCCACCCATGACCAACAGTCTCAGTTCCTTTCTGGTATCTCTCTAACCCTTTCCTAGTGTTTTTTTTCTCACTCCTGTCACAATCTTCCATTGCCCCCTATTTGCAAAGTTCTCCAGAATAAAATTTTTTTTACTGCCATGGTATAAATAACATGGCAGAGTGTGCTGTGCTTGGGCAATGGAGTCAAATAGAACTAAGTTTTGAAAACTGCGTCCACCACTTACTAGCAACGCAACAAGAGTCATTTTTATCTAAGGTTCAGGTTTCCAATCGGGGAGGGGGGAGAAAGAGAGAGAATGTTAACTAAGAAGATCAAAAAAGAATGTGTCTAGCCTAGTATTGGGTACATGATACGAGCTCAATATCTTTCCTCCCATTTTTCTACCCAGACCAGCGTTCCAGCCTTGATGGTGCCCTTATCCAGCCCTGGACAGCATGTTCCCACAAACCTGTGATCATAGTTGATTTATCGCTTATCCTATTCTGTTTGTATTTTATTTATTATAAGCATATTTACATATAATTGCTATAGTTTTTTCTACACTTCTAGATTTAAAATGCCTTGAGGGAAGAGGTTTGATCTTATTCATTTCATATCTCCTGTACCATATTCCATTATATACTGCACTTAATAGGAACTCTATAAATGTCTATTAAATTGGATTGAATTGCATAATTTTACATGGTTTATCCTATTTTAAAATAAAAAATTCCTTCTGGTGTAAGAATTAAGAGTTAGAAGCAGGACAGAGAATTAACCATACTGAAAATACAGTATATCCCCTAGTACTCAACACAGGCCTTGAAATACAGTTAGTGTTCCCTAAATGTTGTTAAGTTGTGTCAGATTAAACACCTACTGTGGTGAATAAATTTTTTTAGAGAATTCAGTCTTCAAAAACAAGTGTTTTTAGTTGAAAAAGACTTGGGCAAGAAAGGATCTACCCAAATCCATCATTACTATTAGAAAAAAAAAATGTCCAAAGATGATCAGTCCTAATGCTATCGAACAGTAAAACTATGCTCTAGAATATGACATTTAATCTAATTAGGTTTGTATTCTCTATTTCTCCAGAGACTAAAACCTGACAAAATGAACTTAAATTGCATGCAGGAATGTATAATGACTTTTAGGATGCTTCAGCTAAGATAAACAAAAATTGTTTCCAACTTTATTTTTGGTAAATAATATGATGAGCTAATCTTTGAACAGATTAAAAATTAATACAGTCACTCTGCTTATTTTTTAACCCTCTATCTTGAAGTAAAACAACCCAAAGTCAAACTTTACAATAGAGTGCACACAAGTTATTACTGATGTAACTGTTAACAGTTGCTGCTGATGATTCTTTAAAAGTCCATGGCAAAATGGTTAAAATCAAGCACTGTGGTAGAGAGACCCAAGCTTAAATATTCCATAGGTTTAGATTTTGATCAGCTTACTTATCCTCCCACACCCTTGCTTTATCACCTGTAACATGACAATAATAGCAGCATCTATCACAAGGGTCGCTGTGAGAATGAAATGATGAAATGATACTGATCCTAAGGCTTTGTGAAAGAAGTGAGTCCTTGGTAAATAGTATTTATAATAATGATAATCATTACTGCGTAAGTTTACCTAGTTGTAATAATTTCACCTACCGTTTAGAAACACGTATTCTTTACAAAGCAGTCTTCTTTCAAAGGAGATCCCAAGGCTATCGGAGGCCAGAGCCGCTCCAGCAAAGTCGCAGGATCCTCGCCCCCTCCAGCGCGCGGTCTCCTTGGTTGCGGACTGGCTCCCGAGGCTGTGCGGCCGCCGGCGATGCTCAGGGGGTCGAGTCCGCGGGAGTGGCTCGGGGCACCGGCCTGGGACGGGCACCGGAGCGCGGGCTGCGTGGCGGGTCCTGACCAAGCCGCCCCGCGCTGCCCCGCCCGCCCAGCGGGGATGAGTGACGGCGACAACAGGTGCAGAGCGGCGTCCGCGGCTTCTCGGTAGCCCCCGACTTTGATGCGTCGGGGGTCAGAGTTTGACTCTGAAAACTACCTTCTTCTACCTCACACCAGCCTTCGAAGTCGTCCCTCAACCGGCTTCTTGCACGGTAGTAAAGTCTTGGGGTCACCTCAACCTCTCGAAACCCACCACGCCCAGAGGCCAACTTTTCGTCTTCAAAATCGAGGAGAGGGAAAGGCGTGTTGTGCATGGAGCTTAGCATCACGGTTCGCTCTCTCCTCCCCAGTCGTCCGAAAGCAGGCGAGAGTGGTCCCACAACCGAGCCCTCGACCCCCACACCCCACGCCTGCCCTGATTTGCTGTGCGCTGTGCCCTGCCACGTCCGGGCTCGGAAACCACGGGCCACCGACGAAACCTGCCCGCCCGCGCCCCTCTTGGCTTGCAGCGCCCGCCCGCGCTGCCGCCAGCCGCCCGAGGCGACGCCGCTTGCCGCTCCCCGCCCCCACCCCCGGGGTGGCAGGTTCAGGCCCCGGGTCCGAGCCTGCGCCTCTGCAGCTGCCACCGCCGCCGTCGCCGCCAGGGGGAGAGAGTCCCAGTCGGGAAAAGTGGTGTTGCTTCCTTGGTGTGCGGGTGCTTTCAAACTTTAGGTTTCTGTTCCTTTCCCCCCGTTTTTGAAGAGCGGAGACGAAGATGGAAACCGAGTCCGGGGCGGTGAGTATGGCGATCAGGGCCCTCAGGCCCAGGGTAACGGGGCGAAGGAACAGTGTGGACCCTGTCCATGAGGGGCTGGAAGGGCGACGTGTAGAGCCCAAACGCTCGCTACTTTGTTAGGAAGAAACGTGGCCAGGGTACCCCATCGAGCGCGGCGAAGGGCCGTCCGTCTGCACGTCCGTCTGGTTGAGTCGTGGGGTCGAGAAGGTGCGGCCACCGGGCCCGTACTGGGCGGAGACGGGCTAGGGGGACCTCAGAAAGGGCCGGGAGGTTTTGGGGGCGGCGGGTGGCTGCGCCTGTGCACCTGGCTGGGTCCCGTCAAATAAACCGCTTTCCCGCCGAAAATGGGCTCGGCCGCGTCTTTGACGCTCGCTCTTGCCGAACTAGGCCCAGCCGCCCATGGCAAGGAGTGGCCAGGCGGTCGAAACCTCCACTCCCCGACTAGTCACTGGGGACCGGAAGGTCTGCGAGACCTGGGCGGGGGCCGGGGGGCGTCCTGTGGCCCAGGTCGTACCCGCACACTCTATCACCCGGAGCTAGCCAGGGCGAGCCTGGGCAGGGCAGGGCTGGCCCACTGGGGCTGGGGAGGGCGCCGGACAGGCCCGAGGGGCAGCGGCATCGTGCCGCCGCGCCCGCCCGACGCCCCGCCGACAGCCAATCAACACGCGCCACGCGAGGGCTGAGGGGCCACCTGCGCATGAGGCTGACGGCGGGGTCGGTGCCGTTGAGGGTTCCCGCCACAGCTGCTGGCGGGTTTGCGGGGCAAAATTTCTCGCTGGCTAGCTTTTTTTTCCCTCCCGCACTTTGGTGGGGAGGGGGTGGATCCCCGTGTCAGTGCCCAAGTTGACGATGACCCGAGAGAACCCGAGGAAGTTGTCGCCGCGGCCATTTCCCCAGGCACCTCATCTTGCTGGCCTCGGAGGGGAAGGAGCGCCGAGGCGGTAGCTGCGACGGTTAGCTCGCCCTCTTGCTGTTGTCTTCGTTTGCAAAGTAGATGATACATTTCGAAGTTAATTCAGAGGGGAAGTGGCAGCGAGGGCCCATTACTTTGGAGGAGAATTTTAATAAACTCTTTAGTGCTGGACGTTTTATCAAGCAGAGGGCCCTTATTTCTAACCAAGTGGCAGCCCCTATCTAGGTGCTTTAATACACTTGTAAAATTATTGGCAACGGAATTTGAGTGTGTCTTTGTTGTTTAACTCAATGCATTGCGAACCATCTGTAGGGAACTTAGATGTTGCTTCTACCGGAGTCTTGATATCGCTAACATTAAAATATTTTCTAGGCAGTTTTTCGTACTGTACTTTTCATCTCTCAGCTTGTTTGGCATATCGTGAACAGGTCTATCCTCAAAAAATGACGCATTCGTTTATTTATTCGGTCAACAAATATTCATTGAGCACCTTCTATGTCTGTCACTCCTTTAGATGCGGCTGTGAAAAAAGGCAAAATCCCGCCCCCGTACATTACATGATAGTGGAAAGAGATAATAAACATAATAAGTAAATTATATAGTATGTTAGAAAAGATAAGTGGTAAGGAGGAAATTAAGCAATTTGAACCCACAATAGAGCAGGAGCCGTAGATACTGGAGAAAGAAGTGAATTGAGCATAAAAATTTGATGTTTCTCTTTTCTCAGTGACTATTCTTTAGTTTTTCAAGATAAAAAGAAAAAAAGGCTTGGAAATAAAGCACAGTGTTCAATTCCATTCATTTCATACCTCTCTCAATGAAAAAGAATGGAGTTTGTCTTTTACTTGAGAACAAATGAGTTCATCCATTCAACTCTTGTTTTTAAGAAGGGAATTTTGAGAAGACTGATTTTTTTAATTTGGCAAATAGGTAATTTTTATACTCTGTGAACAATGGGTAGAGAGACAAATATCTACTAGAGCCCAAACATTATCTCTAACAATACAAATCCACAGATGAAAAGTACTAAGCATCCCAGAATCATCCATTCTGAGCATTGTATCCTACTGAGTAGAGTGACTGAAGTTACAAATAACCTCCAAGTGCCAAGAGAGGAAGCTGTGAGATTGGAGTCCCAATTTTTTTTTTTTTTTAAAGCGACTGGGTCTGGCTCTGTTGCCCATGCTAGAGGGCAGTGGCGGATGATAGCTCACTTCAGCCTGGAACTCCTGGGCTCAAGCAATCCACACACCTCAGCCTCCCAAATTACAGGCGTGAGCTACCTCGCTCAGATCACTCAATTTCTTTAACTGGAAACTACAACGTAGTAATTACTAAATGTGATGACTTTTCTGTGATTTGAAAAGAAGTATTTATGAACTCCCTTATTAGGGAGTATATTTTTCCCACCTTAATATTGGATGGGGAAGAGAGCCCATAAGGTCTAGCCGATAGCTCACTTGTCACCGCTGGCTGTACTTCTTGCAGAGCTTAATGTAGGCATCATGGTTTTATTGGCCAATGAAGTGGGACAGCAGAACAAATATGAAAAAGAACAATTTTATTATCCAAGTTGGAAATTCATTTTCATGTGTTTGTTTCTCAGATAATTGAATTATGAACTTTAAGCTTTTTGATGCAATAATTTAGTATGTTAAAAATCTGTTTAGTGTTTACAGAAGGAAAATAATTAGCAAGTTCTCCAGTTTCTCTTTAAAACTCTATTCTCAAGTCTTGTTTTTTCCAATAATACCTTAAGAGTTTTTATCTTGCCATTGTGCAATGTATACATTAATATATGTTTATTAAAATTAAAATTTAGGTCCTCTGACTTAGACTTGAGAACATGTGGATATGTACTGAGCTCAATTCTTTGGTATAAACATTTATACCTATGGGTCGGTCATGGTGGCTCATGCCTATAATCCTAGCACTTTGGGAGGCCTAGGCAGGAGCATTGCTTGAGGCCAGGAGTTCAACACCAGCCTGAGCAAGAGCGAGACCCTAGCTCTACAAAAAACAGAAAAATTAGCCAGGCGTGATGGCGCACACCTGTAATCCCAGCTACCTGGGAGGCTGAGGCAGGAGAATCACTTGAGCCCAGGAGTTTGAAGTTGCAGTGAACTATGATGATGCTACTGCACTCTAGCCGGGAAAACAAAACAAAACAAATCCAATCTTCAAATCGACAAGTACACTTAAAAATTTGACTTTCAGGCTGAAAATGGTGAACATGAATGTCAGAGGTTATTACTTGTCAATGCCCTTTAGCCAAAGACCACCATGGACACATATTGTTTAGTAAAGTTGAATCTGTTGACTTATCGGAACAAGGAAGAACATATACCACGAGGACTCTCAGTCGGAGGGTGTTAGAAAGAACTTATAGGATGTAGGCTTGTGTTAAGTGATTTTTAGAGAGGATTTAAAGAAAAAGGGCAAGTAGTCTCAGGAAAATATGTTGTCAGGGAGTAATTCTGTGATTGAATGTGTTAATTCTTACCTAAAATGCAGGAAAAATGGATCAAGGTTAAAGCTGTCATTGATAAAGAACGACTAGTCACTCATATCAGCCAGGATAGAGAGATGTTTGGTCATTCTTGTGTTTGGGCAATGCTTTTGCTTTTGTTAGTGTTCAGACATGACTATGGAGTGCCTTGTTATTATCTTGATCCATTAGTCACAAAGTGACCTTATCTGATATTGGTGTTCTGTTAGCAAGAGAATGCCACAGCCTAGCTGTGAGTGCCAGGCCAACTCCTAACAACACTAGGGACTAGTTAGGTTGTGCCAGACTAGCTCCCAGCTGTGCAGGGATGCTTTTTCCTTTCACAAACATCTTTATGAGTTTAATGTTCCTCCTTAATAATTAAGTAATATATTTAATAATAATTAATACAAGTATATTTAAATAATATATTTAATATTTAAGATCTTCTTTATTGTGGAGTAGATTCTGTTTCCAATATTTTTTGTTGCCCCACAAAGCTATTAGCTCTAATTATAATTTTCCTAACATTAAAGTCTAAAATACCACATTTTGCCCAAATGACTCATCTTTTTGAAAGATATGTATTTTCAGCCTGCATCAAAACTTACACTCAGTACTAAAAGTTTAAAAGAATTTTATTTTACAGCAAACATCAAATCAGACGCAAACAGATTCATTATCTCCATCCCCTAATCCTGTGTCACCTGTGCCTTTGAATAACCCAACAAGTGCCCCAAGATACGGAACAGTGATCCCTAATCGCATCTTTGTAGGAGGAATTGATTTCAAGGTACCTGTTTTTATGCATGCAAACATAGTGTATTTTTTGTAGAAATTTTTATTTCTCAGAAGCTGTGCAACTATAAAATAACATTTGAATAATGATTAATAGGTTTCAAATTGTGTTAATATAAAAAATCTTTTCAACAATTATGTAAGCTAAATAAAGTATATGCAATTGTCCAATTTCAAATGCAAGGAAATTGAGGCTCACTGATTTACTGTAGGCTCCTAGCTACTTTGTGGTAGAGTAAGATTAGAATCCTAGTTTTCTGATTCATAGCTCCATGTTCTTCATGTCACCATACCAAACTAATTATACTTTCTAGCCTAATACTCCAAAGCCCAAATAATAGGTGATTATAACTTTCAAAAGAAGACTCAATTTTAAAAAAACCTTAGACATATGAAATCCTATTTCTTTATCCCAACCTTTACGTCAGGTTACTGAACAACCTCCTAGACTTCCATCGTTTGTAAATTACTTTGTGTGATGGAATTTAGAATTTGATCCCAAGAAAAGGCCGGTGTCCTTATCAGAATAAAGCATTTTAGCAGTAATAAATTTAAATCATTTAATCAGCCATTTCACTCTTTCAAAGAAGCTTAGTTTGTGAGATGATTTGTGGCACCCCCATATAGGAGGTAGTAGTAAACACCTCCAAGAAAGGCATGCATAGACATTTTAAGTAGATTACCCTTCTTCCAAATGGATATGTAGAAGAATTTACAAGCTTCCATATTACATATTAGAAATTAGAGGGAGAGTTATCTTTTTTAACCAAAAAAAAAAAAGAAACCTTCCTGTGCCATTAGGTATGATATTTGACATTTATAACTCATTATTTCTGTATAATCAGTTTGTCACAATTTGGGTATAATTACTTTTTTCCTGCACAAGGGAAATTTTACACTTAGTATATTTGCAAAAATAATGAATCTTAAGCAAGTATATGATTATTTAACTAAAAATAAGGTAATAAAAATTATTTGTTATAAAATGTTTATTTTTAAAAAGAGTTTCTGTATCTATGTAAAATATTAATGGCTGACTAGAAATATTCAATTTGAGTATTCTTGTTCAGAATTCATTTATATTATTATAGCTTAGCATATTTTTAAAAATAAATTATCAGTAAATGTATTTATATGGCCACATTATTCTAACTTACTGAAGCCCGTCACCTGCAGTATGAACTTTGGAGGCCATTGTTAGAATACAGCCATAGCTTTAAGGTAACTGCTAGGGTTCCCTCCCTTATATTTACACCTTTTTTAAAACCACAGATAAATGCTAGCAAGGAAACAATTTACTGTAGTAGCAAATAGTCTCCTTTTAACCTCTTATTTTTAGAAGCCTGCAGACTATCCTCTTAATGTTTAATTATCTTGACTTTCTGTCTGCTTTTCAACAAAGAAGTAGAGCTGCAAAACTGAACTGGTGATTCTTCTACCAGAGGATAGTTTGAATTAATTTGTTTTCAAATCTCTAATAGCAGTCCTTATTCTGGCATTGATTCTATATTCTATTAACTGAAATAAAAGGTATTCAGTTCTTCTTAGATTAAATCAGTATTTGTCATTATCCAGTTTAGCAGGCTTTATGTTACCAGCTAAAAGCCAATAATGTATATAAGTAGCTGTTGAACTGAAAAGGCATACCTCTGCTCTAAGGCATATCTTTTTCCCACTTATGTAAAGAAATATTTTTTTCTAGGAACTTTTAAAGTTACTCATGGAGGCAAATAGTTACAGCTAAACCACAAAATAAAATTGCAATGAATTTAATGGCAATATTCCAGGAAAAGATGATATGAGCTTATTATCAGACTATTTCAATTGAAACCAGATGTGCCAAAACCGTCTTTGTAGCCATCTTGTACATTTTAAATCTAATTATGATTTCAGTATTTATTCTGAATATCATAATATTGAGTACAAATAATCTAATAACTTTAAATCTTATAATCACTCCATTGTTATCACAAGTTGAATTCAATACTTTTTCTAAAAGTGAAATATGTCACTTCCTTAAGAGCTGACTCTTCTTGGAGACGAGGCTGATTAAAATAGAGTGACTGGTGTAGGCCAACATAACATAATGCCACTGCCATGACTGTCAGCTTCTCTGATCTATGAGAGCCAATAGTAATATGCCTTTGCTATAGAGATAGCATGCCTAATCCAAATTAGGAAACAAGTAGAAAACAAGAATGATTTAAAGATTCCTTTAAATATTGAGCATTCTTTGTAGTTTTAAAATAATTCAACTTAAAATTTTTTTGATTAGTATATAATAGTTTAACAACACAGCTATAGCGAATATAGCAAGGTATTTATATATTGATTTTAATAATCTAGTGGTTTCATGCACTGTTTTGATGATGAGAGGCATTCTTCATCCATATTACTATCTATAACTTTTTCTCTCTGCAAAAAAAGCATAAGAATTATTCATCTTTTATCAATTAAAAATGTTTTTAATGTTTTCTTTTTTTATGCCATTAGACAAATGAAAATGATTTAAGAAAATTCTTTTCCCAGTATGGGTCTGTAAAAGAAGTGAAGATTGTAAATGACAGAGCTGGAGTGTCCAAAGGGTTAGTATTACTATAGATGGTATATAGAATTAACAACTATATTTTTATTGGATTACTAGGTTTTTTATGCTAATTTACTTTGGTTCCATTTTTTCAACAGAGAATATCATGCCCTCTCTTTCTGCCCCACCTTTTGGTTTCCTATTTATTTTGTGTGTGCATGCATGCGTGTGTATTTTGGAGAGATTGTACACTATAATATTCCTTAATTGTGAAGTTATTTTTGCAAAAGCTGAGGGACCATTCATTGTTAGGCAGAAAGAACTTGATGTTGAGTAGCAAATGTACGTTGGCTAAGGAACCAGAAGCTAAAAGAATCAGATACTTTTGAAATAGTATCCCTGCTTTAGACTATAGAGAGCTTTATTTAGAAATAGCTGACCCCAAGAAATGTCTGTAAGTTGCACTTCAGAGACCTAATTAGGAAACTATTAATAATATGAGAAATATAACTCTAATGAGAATGATTTTTAAAAATTTTTTTTTGTTTTTTTGTTTTTGGTTTGGTTTTTGAGACAGAGTCTCACTCTTTGCCCCAGTTAGAGTGCAGTGGCTCATCATAGCTCACTGCAGCCTCAAACTCCTGGGCTCAAGCAATCCTCCAGCCTCAGCCTCCCAAAGAGGTGGGACTACAGGCATGCATCACCACACCCGGCTAATTTTTCTATTTTTTTGTAGAGCCAGGGGTCTCACTCTTGCTCAGGCTGGTCTCCAACTCCTGACCTCAAGTGATCCTTCCACCTCGGCCTCCTGGAGTGCTAAGATTACAGGCGTGAGCCACTGTGCCTCGTGAAGAATAATTTTTAATGGCCATATCAACGAGAATGAAATTTGAGAAGAAAGCAGTAGATTGTGTCTTGAAGTGTGTAGAGCTGTTTCAGTAGATTGCCATGTGTACAAAAGCCAAATTTCAGCACTATGTATAGTGTGCTCACTTAAAGAATTTGACTGCAAAGTTAAAAGAAAATAGATAAGGCAGTGAAGGACTGTATTTGTTTTCTTGAGAGTCGAGACATACATATTTATAGGCGTAAGAGAAGGGACCAATGAGTTGAATAGAAAACAATATTACTGAGAAACAATATTTAAGTATGACAGGTGGATACTATGGAAGAGATGGAATCTACAGAGAGGTTATTTTTTAAACAAGTGAAATACTTCTTCAGACTGCCAAACAATATTAAGATGAAGATGATTGTACCTCTTTTGTTTGGCTAATAGAATTTGCAACATTTTGGTAATATTCACTTCTTATCATTGAAAAACACACATGGAAATGAAAACTGTATTTTATGCCTTTTCCACTGGGTGGTATATGTGTTCTACCAGAAAAAAAAATTAATGGAAAAAAAAAATTTCTTAACTCACTTAATGTTTGGGCAAACAGAAAAAAGAGAAATTCCTTTTTTTAAAAAAAGAAACTTTATGTATAATACAGTTATGAATTGAAGAAAATAGTAGTCAAGATATTTAACATTACTGAGAGAGTTTCCCTTAAATTATCTAAATAGAAATTAGGCTTTGGGAGATATACTTTTTGTTTCATTTGTTTCCTTTTTCTCTACCT